CTCTTCCCACCTTGTAATACACTCTTTCTGAATCTTTATTTCTACATTCTGGGTCCTTATTTTTAAAAATACAAACTGAAATATTTATTAAATATTAAACATTAAATTAAAAACTAGTATTAAATTATATGATACGGGATTCAAATTAACCCATGGGGGGAAGGGTAAATGGTTGGGGCATGGATGAAACAAAATTGGCCATGAGTTGATAATTGATGAAACTGGGTGCCTTGAAAGACTGGACCATCATGAGCCCCTTCAAGACCACATCCATTGGCCAGTGAACTGGGTACCATCAAATTATTTAATTGAACAGATTGAAACAAACCATCTACATGGCCTCAGTGAGCAACTGAAACCCAAAATGCTGTTTCAACACATTCAAGTCCACCCCCAGAACAACATGGAAACCGAAAGAGTGGGACATGTAAGGGCACGAACCTCGGCGTTGCTGTGAAGCGTTTTACAGATGTGATTGAAGTCCATAATCAGTTGATTTTCAATACAATCCTGGCTGGGCACGGTGGCTCATGCCTGTAATCCCAGCACTTTGGGAGGCCGAGGCGGGCAGATCACGAGGTCAGGAGATCGAGACCATTCTGGCTAACACGGTGAAACCCTGTCTCTACTGAAAATGCAAAAAAAAATTAGCTGGGCGTGGTGGCGAGCGCCTGTAGTCCCAACTACTCGGGAGGCTGAGGCAGGAGAATGGCGTGAACCCGGGAAGCGGAGCTTGCAGTGAGCCAAGATTGTGCCACTGCACACCAGCCTGGGCAATAGAGCAAGATTCCGTCTCAAAAAAAAAAAAAAAATACAATCCTAGAGGAACTGATTCAATAATCCGGGTAGACCCGATTCAGTCAGGGGAAAGGCCTTACCAGCAGTGCTGAGGTTCCTCTGGAGACGGAGAGTCAGTCTGTGTTCAGGAGCTTCAGCCTATGCCTGTGAGTCCTAGCCCACCCCTTCTGATGGCCTGTCCTGTGGATTTTGGACTGCCTTATCAGCCTCCAACACCATGGAAGCCAACTTTTTAAAATTAATTTCTTAATTTATATCTCCTATTTGTTCTGTCTCTCAGGTTGAACACTGACTGATGCAGATTTAAATAAGTAATATACTTTTTTCTCTTAGTTGTAGTACTGCTTTTGTTGAATAACCCATCAGGTTTGGGAGCTTAGGTAGCCAGCAGCAGTGGATATGTTCCACTATTACAGCTCAGATTCTTAGCTGTAGGAGACTGTACCCCCTCAGGTCACAGTGATGGTCTGTGCCACAAGCAGCCTACGTTAGTGCATATAATACACTAAGCGGTAGGAACCGTGGTCTCCAGCACCCAAAATGGCCCGAGGGCGCCACCTGGAAACAGATAAGCACCACAGGTCACCATGTTTGTCCTCAAACCTCCCAACATCACCAGGTTAATTTTTCCCCTAAGGGGACCTGGAAATATTGCCATATGGATTCCAGTAGCCAAGAACCCCAGAAATGTCTGAATTCCCCTTCTTTCCCTTTCTGTATGGACAGGAGTATAGTGCCACTGACCTCCAGTGGAGACCCAGAGACGTTGGCCTCATTCCAACCACACCGTTCGGCCCGAGAAATTGGGTCTGCAATGTCTTTTTATCAAACAAACACATCAACCAGGCCACATAAGGCATCTCTGAACCATTTCCATACCTGTCCTTTAGCTAGAAAGTCTCCCTTTCTGTGGCAGCCTGCATTGCATAGTTGGTTCCTGCTCAGATGCCTCAGGACCCGAGTACCTCTTTCCTCATCCTTCTCAGGTGCTTCAGGGTCCATCTGAGCATTCTGTTCCTGAGCTCTCCAGCCACAGGAATGAAGGATCGCATCAGTGCCCAACAATCAGGGGCCTGTGCGCCACGATCTCGTTTCCACATTCCTTTCTGGCAGCCTTAGTCCATGGCCAGCTCACTCACATCCAGGAGTCCCACATATAACCCCTCCTGACCCATAAGATGTCCAGCAGTACCGTCCAGCTCTTGTGCCCCCAGGCTGACGTCTCCACCTTCAACCAGGTACTGGGAGGTTTTGCCCCTTGCTTCACCAATGAGCCATGATTCTGTCAGACTGGACCCTGCCTGCTGTGTCAGTTTTGGGGAACAGATTCACTGTGCACTGATTACCAATTTGTCTGAGTCCAGGGAGGCTCACACCCACACACACAACGAATGACATGAAGCAGGTTGATTACTAACAGGTAGGCAGCGAGGGGCATCAGAAGCCTGAGATTCACCATGATCAAGAAGCCGGGCTCAGGAAGCCATGCGGGGCCGATGAAGTCCGTCAGTGTCATAATTTTCAGTGCAAGGTGTTTTTGTTTCCACTGCTGTCACTTTCTCTCCTCATCCCACTCACACACACACCCTGATCCAGCACCACCTGCCTCCACCTGTCTAGCAGTTTTGCAGTTGTCTTTTCCTGTCCCATCCCCAGGCCCCATCCCGTAGTGTTAATGGGGATAATAATAGGTTATTCTCAAGCCTGCAGAGGATTTAGGTCAATCTATAATCTAAAGACTGTGTCTGGGCTGGGCATGTTGGCTCATGTTTGTAATTCCAGCACTTTGGGAGGCCAAGGCAGGCGGATGACCAGAGATCAGGAGTTCGAGACCAGCCTGTCCAACATGGTGAAACCCCAACTCTACTAAAAATACGGGAAAAAAAAAAAGTTAGCCAGGTGTGGTGGCAGGAACCTATAATTTTACCCCAGCTACTCAGGAGACTGAGACAGGAGAATCACTTGAACCCAGGAAGCAGAGGATACAGTGAGCTGAGATCCCACCACTGCACTCCAGCCTGGGTGACAGAGCGAGACTCTGTCCCAAAAAATAAAAAATAAAAAAGACTGTCTGTATCCTCCAGTCTCTCTAAGGCAGTGGTCCCCAACTTTTTGGCATCAGGGACTGGTTTTGTAGAAGACAGTTTTTCCATGGGAAGTGGGGAGATGGTTTCAGGATGATTCAAGCACATTACACTTACAATGCATTTTATTTCTATTATTATTATACCGTAATATATCATGAAATAATTGTACAACTCATAATTGTAGAATTAGTGGGAGCCCTGAGCTTGTTTTCCTGCAAATAGATGGTCCCATCTGAGGGTGATGAGAGACAGTGACAGATCAACAAGCATTAGATTCTCATAAAGTATGTACAACCTAGATCCCTCACATGTGGAGTTCACAATAGGGTTTGTGCTCCTATGAGAAGCTAATGCTGTGGCTGCTAATCTGACAGGAGGCGGAGCTTGGGTGGTAATGTGAGCGATGGGGAGCGGCTGCGGCTGTAAATACAAATGAAGTTTTGCACGCTTGCCCACCGCTCACCTCCTGCTGTGAGTCCTGGTCTGTGGTCTGGTGTTTGGGGACACCTGGTATAAGGGGTTAGCAGTTCAGAAGCCACAGCCCCGGGCAGCAAAGGACAGCAGGTTTATTCCAAGATGAAGGGGGCCCCACTCTGACACGTATCTTCAAAAGCAAGACTGGCTCTGATCCCCACTCTCATGGGGTATTTGGCCTCTCTTGTATCCTACGCACATCATGTCTGTGACCCAGAACCCAGCAAGCCCACAGCTTCAGCCCCTCATTTTACATTTTCAGTCTGTGGTCCCCAGAGATAGATGTCTTGTTTTTGAGTTCAGCTATGTTGTTATTTTATTTTTATATGTTATATACACATATCTATCCTGTGTATGTAACACAAAAACAAGCTTTCTTTTTCCTGTTTTGAACAGAGAGGCCGCATCAATGTGTGAAAACATGAAACCATCTTGATCCCAAATCTCCTCAGCCTAAAGTCTATAACAAACAAAACCATAGAACCTCAACAGTCAGAAAAAGTGTGGAAGCTGGAGAAAATAATCAACAAGAAAAAAAGAAGGGAAAGGAAAGAGCAACATGCTCTTCATTAAATTAAAGCAGTTGAAGAAAATACTTCCTCCTTCAAAGAAGCTTGAAAATCCCCTTCCCATGGGTTTTCTTTTATTAGGCCCTGATTTCATTTCTTAATTTTACTAAGGATAGTAGAGAAGACGGTGTCACTGGGAGAGTTTTTTCACAGTTGAATGTATTTGGTTCTAAAATGTTTCAATAAATATTAGCCAGGTATGGGGGCAGGTGCCTGTAATCCCAGCTACTCAGGAGGCTGAGGCAAAAGAATCGCTTGACCCTGGGAGGTAGAGTTTGCAGTGAACCGAGATCGCGCCATTACACTCCAGCCTGAGTGACAGAGCAAGACTCTGTCTCAAAAATAAATCAATAAATAAAATGTTTCAAATGTCTTCCACGAAATGTTGCAGCGTATGGAAAAAAAGGAAAAGAAGAAAGCCTCACACACAGGAGAAAGGGAGGAAAAAGAAAGAAGAATATGAAATATATGAATGAAAGAAACCCATCAAAACCCAGCTGAGCTTACCCCACCATTAAATTCCATATTTGTTCTTGATTGGAACGCCTGAGTTTGGTATGTGGGTCTGTTGCTGAAGGACTGTGTCATCTTACATCAATAAAACAGAGGCCCCAGGCAGCCTCCTGTGGCTCACGCCTATAATCCCAGCACTTTGGGAGGCTGAGGCGGGTGGATCACTTGAGGTCAGTAGTTTGAGACCAGCCTGGCCAACGTGGCAAAACCCTGTCTCTACTAAAAATACAAAAATCAGCTGGGTATGGTGGCTCATGCCTGTAATGCCAGCTACTTGGGAGGCTGAGGCAGGAGAATCACTTAACCCAGGAGGCAGAGGTTGCAGTGAGCCAAGACAGTGCCACTGCACTCCAGCCTGAGGAACAGAGTGAGACTCTATCTCAAACAAAAACAGGGACCCCGGATCTCTAAGGAGGAAGACACATTTCAGGGCAACGTGATGTGTCTCTGAGCAGGGCTGGTCCCCAGAGGCCTGGCCGCAGCTTCTTACATGATCCTTTGCTGCATTGCTGCCATAGCAAGTGTTTCTCATTTTTTTCTTTTTTTTTTTGGTTATTGTTTGTGTGTGTGTGTGTGTGTGTGTGTGTGTGTGTGTGTGTGTGTGTCAGGGTCTTGCTGGGTCACCCAGACTGGAGTGCAGTGGCGTGATCTCGGCTCACTGCAGCCTCAACCTCCTAGGCTCAAGTGATCTTCCTGCCCCAGCCTCCTGAGTAGCTGAGACTACAGGCACGTGCCACCACACCTGGCTAATTTTTGTATTGTTTGTAGAGACGGGGGTCTCACTATGTTGCCCAGGTTGGTCTTGAACTCCTGGACTCTCCTGCCTTGGCCTCCCAAAGTGATGGGATTACAGGCATGAGCCAGGGCGCAAGTGTTTCAAAGGCTTTGTTCAAAGATAAAAAAGATAAAATCTCTCTCCAGTTTCTGAACAGACAAACCAGAATCCAGTGTGATTAAACGGAAGAAAGGCAAAGAAGAGAACTTTTTATGGGCACTTAGTTTATTTTATTAGGAAATTTGGACAAGGTTACATGATAACTAAGAACACAAAAGCAAAAAACAAAGAAGCATCGCATGCCGATGGGAAGAGTGGAACTAAGACGGAGCTGCATAGGCGTGAGTACGTCCGTCAGACCAAACACGAGGAGTTGTGATTTCATTTTCCTGAGGTCAGTTACTTGGACAGTTACACAGGTGCTGCGCTGCTCTCATATTTTTCCATGAGATGGTTCCTATTAGTTTGGTAGCTTTTCAGATGGAAAGACATGAAACACCAAACAAACACAGCAACAGAGTTCAAGACCATAGAGGAGGGAGAGACCAGACAGGATGGGAAGGATGGGAGTCTTACCTACAGGACAGATACCTGCAGCCCCTGCCCAGAGGCACGTGCCCTGCCTAGCAGCAGCATTGCTTCTGGCAGCAGCACTTCTGCTGGCAACAGCCCTTCTGCTGGCAACAGCCCTTCCCACAGCCGCAGCCACACGAGCTGCAGGTGCGGCGGCAGCAGCAGATCACGGGTGTGCTACAGCAGCCCCCACAGCAGCCGCGGCAGCAGGGGCAGCAGCTGGAGCAGCAGCCCACCCGGTAGCACCTGTAGGTGGTGCAGCTGCCACAGCCACCACCACAGCCAACACAGCCACCACCGCAGCCACCGCAGCCACCACAGCCACCACCGCAGCCACCACTGCAGCCACCACAACTTCCACAACCACAGCAACCCATGGTGTCAGTAGAGAGGACTCAGGAGAAGTGAGGAGGGAGGACTCAGGAGAGGTGAGGAGGTCTGATGCCTCCTTCTGCTCGGGGGAGGCCCTTATGTATCATCTCAGGAAAAGGAAGAGGGAGTGACCCAGGACACATGACCAGTGGTCACTTCCTTGTTGCTGCTGCAGTTTCCATGATAAGGTTATCTAGGATTATTCTTTGTTTACATCCTTATGGGCTATATTTGACCCAAAACGTTTGCTCATTTTCACTTGTCTCTGTTAAAACCAGATGAAAAGCAAGCCAAGAGATGCTAACATTTAGGAGAGGATCTTCATTTTCTCAGAAACCAGTTGAATCCTTGAGACTTCGGGTTAAGCCGGAACCCAAGGTTGCTGCCAGCTGCTTTTCCATCTCTCTGCAATGGCTTCTCTCCAGGAAATCACCCCGGTTTCTTGGAAACTCCCGAGATGCAAAAGAGTAAATAAGAGCATCCAAATAAAACATGTCGTTTTTGCAAAAGTGCTCACTTCCCAGCTATATTTCTGAGGGGATCTTTGTAGTAAATGACTTTTTTCTTTTTTGTTTTCCTCACAATTTTCTATGATAAGGCTTGAAGCAACACTCCCTTCTCTTCTCGCTCTGTCCTCCCTCCCGGATTGTTCACATTCACACCCACGGTGTAGATTTCCACATGTGTATTCCCTGGTTAGTTTCTCCATGGAGAGCCTCCAGCTCAGACTCTCCTGCAGACTACAAAATCCATCAGTAGCCACTCCCCATTCCATCTTCTCCCCTTGGGGTTTCAGAGACATCTCCAGTGTCACATGCTCCAGACTCAAGTCATAATTCTCCCTGCCTGATCACCAACTATCCACCAGAAAAAAAAAACTGCGTTTTTCCTGCACTGCTCCATATCCATCAAGGTACGAATCCATGTTAAAAATTATCTTTGAATCTTTCTTTTCTCTTAATTCCATTTCTAGTCTTTCACCAAATTCTGTTGCTTCTGCCTCATTAATAACTTCAAACCTATTCAAGTATCTGTAGCTCCACTGTCCCCACGATCCCAGTTCAAGCAACTCCCTGACAAGTTGAAAATGCTCTGTTTACTCCAAATACCACAGGGACAGCTTGCAGTCATTAATAAACAACTCTAATCAGCCATAGGGACGTGGCAGCACTTTCTCTTGCTCAAATTTCTGAAGAACAATTTTACCAAGTCGAGAAAACAGGCTTTGGGCAGCGAGCCTGTTACAAAATGAATTGGAGGATGATCTCGTCTGCAGCAGAGATGCTGGCTGCTGGCTGCTGAGCACTGACTGATTGCCAGAAGCCTCTACCTCAGCACGCATGGAGAAGACCCTACTTGCACTCGTATTTTTCTTGCCTTTTTTACAGACTTTTTGTTGGTCACAAACTCTCATGAAGTTTGTGATCCACAAACCGTGTCCACAGACACAGGCTTCTCCTTGGAGCCATAAACTCCTTTCCTTCCCATGCTGGGCCTTCATTCAGCTCAGCAAGCTTCTCTGACCTCTGGACCATGCGTCCCTCGATGTTCCCACTCTGTGCTCTCTAAATAGCCCAAAAGCTTATTCTCTAGGGAGCCCAGGCCAGGCTGTTTAGCACAGACTTGTTTCTGTTAGTCATCAATTGACATCACCTAATCAAGGACAAAAATGAATTCCTGGTGGGGCACAGTGGCTCACGTCTGTAATCCCAACACTTTGGGAGGCCGAGACAGGAGGATTGCTTGAACTCAGGAGTTCGAGACCAGCCTGGCCAACATGATGAAACTCTGTTTCTACTAAAAATGCAAAAATCAACCAGGTATCATGGCACATGCCTGTAATCCCAGCTACTCAGGAGGCTGAGGCAGGAGAATCGCTTGAACCTGGGAGGCAGAGGTTACAGTGAACCAGACCAAGAATTACATCACCAAAATGCAGACTCCTAAAAGGATTGATTTCTGCTTTTGAAATAAGCATTAAGACCTCGTGTGCAGAAGACAAATCACAATGATGTGCTTCAAATGAGGAGGGAAGGAGCAGCATCGGTGCCTTCACTGGCCAATAAATGGGACGATGGCATCTGACTTTGGCAGTGACCTTTGAATCTGCTGCCATTTACACCTCCCAGCTAGCGGGGTTACTTACTATTGCAAGCCCTTTGAAGTCAGGGACTGTGCCTTCAATATCACTGCACCTGTCGCTGAGAAGCTCTCGGATTGTTTGGTCCAGGGACTGCCTGGTGCTTTGTGGGGTTTGTAAGCCCTGTAACAACTCATGGACCTATGCACTTGCCACATAATCCCAGGGCATCTTAGGAAGAAGGAGAAGGCCGTCATGGCTAAGGACGCCTGACCACACCTCAGCTCCCAGAATGCGTCCCTAGAACTTTTAGGCCTTTTTAACTTATACTGGAATACAGTTTTACGAAAAAAATAAACAAAACCGAAAATGTAGTGAAGACAAAGATGTCTGAAAGGAAAGTCAATATGAGATGGAGAGATTTCTCCATGTACATCAAGTCAAATGACAACAAGGAAGTGGTCATGTGTCTTCCCTCTCCTGTCTCCAGAGTTGGTACATAAGGGCCTCCCCCAGCAGAAGGAGGCATCAGACCTGCTCACCTCTCCTGAGTCCTCCCTCCTCACTTCACCTGAGTCCTCTCTACTGACACCATGGGTTGCTGTGGTTGTGGAAGTTGTGGTGGCTGCGGTGGTGGCTGCGGTGGTGGCTGTGGTGGCTGCGGTGGTGGCTGTGGTGGCTGTGGTGGTGGCTGTGGCAGCTGCACCACCTACAGGTGCTACCGGGTGGGCTGCTGCTCCAGCTGCTGCCCCTGCTGCCGCGGCTGCTGTGGGGGCTGCTGTAGCACGCCCGTGATCTGCTGCTGCCGCCGCACCTGCAGCTCATGTGGCTGCGGCTGTGGGAAGGGCTGTTGCCAGCAGAAGGGCTGTTGCCAGCGGAAGTGCTGCTGCCAGAAGCAATGCTGCTGCTAGGCGAGGCACCTGCCTCTGGCAGCTGCTGCAGGTAACTGCTGTAGGTAAGCTTTCCCCTTCTGTCTGCCACTGACTAACAGGACACAAGCATGACCTGAACCTGTCACCTGCCTGTGAGTATTTTACATTCCTACAGTTTGTTTGTGATTCTGCCTGCATTTAATCATCACCAACAAAAATGATAACCATGCAGCCTTCTATGTTGATTACAATTCAAGTCACGACCTCAACGAAATGGAGTCAAAATAGTTAGACCTTCTTGAAATGCCTCTAAGGTTGCCTTCATTTCCATGCTGTTTTTACCGCTGCCTGGGTATATTTGTATACACAAAGCAACACTTATCTTAATAAGTTATACTAACTCATTCTCAAAGAGCTATCTCTTTTGTTCTTTCCAGTCTCTAAACTGTCTGTCCCTGGGGAAAAATGAGTTTTATCCCAAAAGATAAATCAAAGAATAAAAAACTAGATGAATTCTTGACAAAGACACAGATTCATGGATGATTAATCCATTGTGGGTTTGTAAAGAAGGAAGGGACTTGGGGGCACATCCTCAGCCTGACACTTCATTATCATAAACCAAAACTTTCCCCAAATCTCTCTCTTGATAGAGTCTTAGAAAGAGAAGTCTGGAGTCATAAATACCTGTTCAGACTGCAAATGGTCATATGATCATTCAGGAGCCTAGTCACCTTTGGGCAAAGATGAAATTTGGCTCTTAGCCATGTCAGGTATCATAGAAGTCCGTGGTATCAACCACTTCGAACTACAAAATTAGCTTTCACTGTAATGGGAGAATATCAGCATTAGAATCAAAATAATCATACGCCCTACTGAGAGTGTCTTCATGCGTAATAAAAAATGTCCCCGAACACCCCTTCTGCTAATTTTTCATAGAGATTCCCTGATTCTTTTCTTTGCAGACTCCAGATTCTTGATTTATTGTGGCTGGTTTAGCAGCAAAGTGAGAAGGAAACGAGGTAGAGAGTGGGGAATCCCAGCTTGGGCGAGCAGTGGGGCGGGGGCCGAGGGAAGTCAAGCTCCTTGGGTGTGTCTCTAGGAGAAGCTGGTTCTTGCTGCAACAACACCAGGGCCACTTAGGGTGTTTCCTTGTTACTCTAAGCAGAGCTTGGCTCTGGATAGAAGCTTAAACAGGTTGAACTGACCACATGAATGTTATAAACACAGGGAACATGGGTCAAATAACCATGTCAAATAAGATTTCCAAAGAGGGGAAGATGTTGTCACAGAAAGACAGTTTTCCTTCCACCCTGAAATTCAGAAGAGCGGATTCGGAGGCGGGTGCGAGATGAGCCTCCCGATGTCTAAATTGACAAGGTGGTTTTGGGCACTCATCCGGCTCTGGCTCTATTCCCTTTCCAGCCCCAAGAGCCCTGTGCCTCTAGGACCCTCAGGCTACCCAAAGCCCCTTAGTTACTCTCAGCCTTTAGGATTTACCTCTGGGGTCCCACCCTCTCACTCATTCTTCCTTCCCAGTCTTCACCCGTAGAACTGCCCCCTCCTTGTGATGGTTCTCAGCTGGAAGAGTGGGGTCAGGAGAGAAGCATCAGTTCATCCATCTTACGCTAAGGCAAGGGGCATCCACTTTTTCTCATGAGGGAGGACCCCTCAAGTCGCTTTTCCCACACAGTAATGTGGACCAACCCAACGGGCAGGATTCTGGGACATGTGGCTTTTCCAGACACCAAGACCCAACACTTCTTAGGCACTTGCTCCTCCTGTCCCACTCGTTGAAAGTGTGAATTTGTTTCCAGTCAGTGTAAACAGTGGCTGTCTGCCAGGATTTGCTGGGTGTCACTACTCATGTTGACACAGATTCCTGAAAAAAGAGCCCAGGTGGCCTAGTGTAAGGTTTGTGTTGTGCGTGTGTGTGTGCATATATATATACACACACACACATATTATGAGATAGTCAGATGGTCCGTCAGGCATGGCCACAAGAAGAGGCAAAGGAGGCTGGGCGCGGTAGCTCATGCCTGTAATTGTAGCACTTTGTGAGGCCGAGGCGGGCGGATCACCTGAGGTCAGAAGTTTAAGACCAGCCTGACCAATATGGTGAAACTCCAGCTCAACTAAAAAAAAAATACACAAAAATTAGCTGGGCGTGGTGGCATGTGCCTGTAGTCCCAACTACCGGGGAAGTTGGGATAGGAGAATCACTTGAACCCATGAGGCAGAGCTTGCAGTGAGCTGAGATCGTGCCACTGCACTCCAGCCTGGGCAACAGAGCGAGACTCCATCTCAAAAATTTAAAAAAAAAAATAAATAAATAAAAAGAAGAGACAAAGGAGAGGTTCAGGAAAACAGTGTATTCCAATCACAGGTCCTAAGGAGATGGAGTCACCGCGTGCCAAGAGGGGGTCACATAGGAGGCGGCACCGGGGGAGTGGTCTCAGCCAGGCAGACAGGGAGAGAGGACCCACGGGCTCGCTCACAGGTGTCAGGGTGGAATATACGAGCAAGAGGTGCAGGGGTGCCCATCAGTGCATCTGAATGTTCCTGGGGCTCAGTCAGGGAAGGACAGGGAGGGGAACCTGTGGCAGGGGCTAAACATGTCACGCTGGGGCCCACCTGGGAGAGACGGGCAAAACTCACCATGCAGTGCACCGGGGACACCCGTCTGCATCTCACCTCAGCAGAGGAGTAGCTGGAGGCACCTCCCTGTAATCCAGGTGTGAATTTGAGTCTTGGTTTAGGTTGTCTGAATAATTAGCACAAATGTAGTCAACTATCCCTTACTGTGGGGGAATTTATAGGCAGGGCTTATAGGGATTTGTGAACCAAGTGACAATACTAGTAGACTGAAAAATGAAAACAGTTTGTTGGGAACAATTGAACTACAGAAATATCTTCTTTAAATTCTGACCATCTTTTTTTCTTCTTTTTTTAGTATTAAGTCCATCTGAGAAACTAGAGCCTTGGGACCCAGGGATGAGGAAACTTACTGTACAGACATGCGTGCTGACCTTCGCCCTGCGGGCCACGGCCTCTGCCATGCAACTGCACAAGCTGCAGCCTGAAACTCTCTCTGGCACCGCCCTAAACAGACCAAGTGTGAGGGAGGGAGCATGTAATGCAAAGTCCACAGAGAATAAGAAGCCACAAGATTCAGTGCTCTGAAGTCATTCTAGATGGTTTCAGGGAAGCTAGCTTCCCACCTCTGATAGGGATACCAATGGCAAATACCACACTTTGCCTAGGATGATCATTCTTTGTGCACAATGCATCCCATCCCAAAGACAGTCCACGGCAGGACTTGCTCCATCTCTGAACTGGTCTCACCCCCTTAAACCTGCCTTTATATCTAGGAGTTTATTTTATTTTATTTTTTTGAGACAGAGTCTCCCTCCATTGCCCAGGCTGGAATGCAATGGCGCGATCTCAGCTCACTGCAACCTCCACCTCCTGGGTTCAAGCGATTCTTGTGCCTCGGCCTCCCAAGTAGCTGGGATTAAAGGCATGTGCCACCGCGCCTGGCTAATTTTTGTATTTTTAGTAGAGATGAGGTTTCACCATGTTGGCCAGGCTGGTTTCAAACTCTTGACCTCAAGTGATCTACCCGCCTCAGCTTCCCAAAGTGCTGGGATCACAGGTATAAGCCAGCAGGCCTGGCCTACATCTAGGAGTCTCTTGATGAGTGTTGGTCAACAGAAAGAAGTCTCTTCTAAAAATTGTTAATGCCTTTAT